CACTGTAAAATTAACTTGAACAGTAGATGGGTTATAATAATATTGGAATTATTATTAAATTAATTTCTCACAAACGACTAATTTGAAGTCATCTATTTGGTAAAGTATAAATACATAAGCATTTTTATATTAAATTCATAGCAAAATATATAGAAATATCCTGAACCACATAAACTTGTATTAAACACAACTCTATCGAAAAATAAATAAATAAATAAATAAAAATACCATAAAGTATAACTATTAGAATAATCCAAACCACTCGTTCTGCTTGGATTAATGAAATGAAAATTGTACAGTTCAAGCAAGAGTCAAGGTTCCACACACAATAGCAGCTACCTAATATTTCAATGGAAAAAAAAAAAAAAAGTTAAATAAAAGTCATTCCTAAATTTAAATATGCTCACCAAAGATGCACCTGTTCTCGGCTCACAGAAAATTTCATAAAATAACCACAAAAGCCCCTGGCCTCTACCCTGCTGAAAATGTTATTTCATTATGCCAGTGATTTCAAAACCAGAGAAACGGTGCTGCCACAAGTCTGCCGTTATGCTTAAAAAATCAAGACAAAGGCAGGTTAGTCATAAAGCACAACTTCTTGGATCTGATCTGTAAGAAATAAATGTTCCTCACGTCATGTCTCACTCCCAGAGGTTAAGGGGGAGGGGGGGTGGAAGGGGAGGCAGCTTGCCATGTTGGAAAAGAATGGGAAATGGTCTGTTGTAGGTTTTTCTAATGACAAAATAGTTATGAGAGCTGTGATTATGGCTAATGTATGGAAACCAAATCTTTAAACATATTTCTGGCAGATGCCTTGCACACACCCTTCCAGCTTGGCCCTGTTACAAAAGAAATTCTTTTGTTCATACAGAGCTAATAATAGTGAAAGGGGCAGGGCTCTAATCTGGCTATGTGTGCATAGGAATGTGCATGTGTACTGGTTAAAGCTGTATTTATAACTTCCTACAGTGGCAATTCATTCTTGTAACAAACTTTTAATTATATTCTGGTTCCTGTATTTCTGCTCTTAGGCTTGACCTCACATTTAGCAGTTCAAACATTAGCAGAAGAAGTCAAAGTTCAGATGGATTCACAAACACAGCCTCACTGAGTTGAATTCATGTTCAGCTCGCTGAGACAATAAAGGTTCATTGTGGGTGATTTTATCTTCATCATGAATGATCTATTCAGTCATTTAACATTATTTAAGATGCATACATAATTATGGGCAGCTAGTGTCTTGTAAAAGTATTCGTACGCCTTGAATTTTCCATATCTTCTCATGATTCAACTACAAAGTTTATTGTATGTTATACAGATTTCATGTAATACAGCAACACAAAGCAGCACAATAACAGAAGGAAAAGTATACTTTGATTTAATCCTATTTTTAAAATGAAGACTTAAAATTGTGTCCAGTGCCTTTACAATGATAAATACCCAAAAATAAATTTGAGCGCAGTGAACTTTTGCTGAAGTCTTTCTGTTTGTTTATTTAATCTCAGAATGAGCAGATCTTTTCTGTGAAGGCTTCAATGTTGTGTTAGCAATTGAAGCTAACAGTCTATTTGTTCTGTTTACTGAACAAATAGACAGAGGATCACACCATACAGGGAGGGATACAGTTGTAGAGAAGTTTTAAGGAGGATTTTTTAAATAAATAATAATAAGAGTTTTCAAGCTCTAAATAGGTCTAAATCTCAGAGCTTTGGGTGTAGAGCACATGTCCAATCTATGACACATCTGTTAACCTACTAACAGATTATTTTCTGCATAAACTGCTAAGATAAAGTTTAATAAGGGAAGCAGTTAAAAGACTTGTTGACCGCTCTGAAGGAGCTGCAGAAATCCACAGCACAGGTGGCAGAATCTGTTGAAAGCACAAGTAGAAGCCATGGTGCAGCCCATCTGGTGTTTATAAGGGTGTGGCTAGAAGGGTCCCATTAGTAGTATGCGCAGTAGGTTTGCCACATGCCATTCAGAGCCTCTGGCTAGAATCGTCAAAAACTTTTAGCCTTTTGCAAAAAAATCTAATGTGTCAGAAAACTAAAGCTTCACATTACCATAAAAAGAACCATACAGAGTTTACATTGGAAGGGTTTAGATCAAAGCATAGTCATGTGTTAGAATGCCCCAGTCAAAGTACAGACCTAAACTGAAGTACAAAGACAAGAAGACTTGATGTCCACAGTTGCTTTCTATTCAATCTGGCCAAACTTAAAATGTTTTGCATAAAAAAGGCAGACTCTAGCTGAGCAACTTTAAGAAATTGGTTGCACAAAGTATTAACTCAGTATAAAAAAAAAAATAAATAAAGTACACCACTCTTTTCAGAAACGTCTTGTGAAATTGTTGAAATATATGTTGCATTTTCTTCCCTTTCAAAATTATTCACAACTTTGTTTTGATCTAAATGGTAAAAATGGTAAATGGCTTGTATAGTGCTTTATCAAGTCCAGATTACCCCAAAGTGTATCACACTGTATTCAGTCATTCACATATTTACAAGCTACTAGATAGTGACCACAGCTGCGCTGGGGCAGTCTGACAGAGGCCTGCCCGCCATGCCTGCCACCACCAGGCCCTCTGACCACCACCAGCAGGCAAGGAGGGTGAAGTGTCTTGTGCAAAGACTCATAATCTATCACATGAAATCCTCCTCCACCCCTTAAATCTATTGAAGCTAGTGATTGTAACATGACAAAATGTGGAAAGGTTCAAGAAATATTTGAGTACTTTAACAAAAAAGACCTAAATGTATCTAGGAAAATATATTTGAGAAGTTACAAAAGACAACATATATAAAAATAATAATTATGTTTTCAAAATAGTACTCATTAGACAAATCCTAGATATTGCCTTTCTCATTCGGTACTGCAATTAATTTTCTCACAGCACCTTAGCTCAGATTATTACAAGAGTTTGCAATAAGAAACAAAAAGGAAAGAGAGGACGGTCAAACATGTGGGGAAAAAAACAACTGTCAGAGCCACAGCTAGCATATTATTCATCAAAACCCCTTGTGCTTTGGATGATGCTTTAACAACAGAAGGGGCAACATAAGCAAAATTCTATTATCTCCCCCACTTTCCCCTGAAAGCAATAAGGCCTGTGTAACAGTGGGAAAAGCTTTGAGCTCGGGTCATTTTGCACCTTTGTAACAAGCACTCGTCAATTACTGTTAGGATAGAGTAATATGGGTAGTCATTAGGCAAACATAATGACAACTCATTCACGGCGACAAACAGGGAGCGACAAACACTAGTGGCTGATATAATTGAATTAGGAGGAGGGTGTGAGACATGGAGATGCTGTAACAATGGAGCAGAATTGATCATTCAAAATTAATGAGCAAACCACACACAATTATTAGACGTAGCCACACCCTTCAGTGAGCCCTTTTGTATGTGTGTGAGAGCCTCTGTATAGTGAGCATCTATGGCAAATGCAAATACAAAAAGGTCAAGAGAGGGGGGACACAGTGCATGCTAAATGTCGACATGTGTTATTCAAGGACTCTTATCTGTTTAGTAATTGGCACATTTTTATTTTTTTTTTTAATATAACATTTTTTGGCTGCTATTTTCCCTTTTCAAAACAAAATTACACTAAATATTTAGTGGGGATTTGGCAACAGGCCCATGAATATGCAGCTGAGCCTGTGGCGACGCACTGTGAGACAAACAGAAATAAAAAGAAATAGGCAAGGGGAAGAAAACCAGGTGAGTGCAGGCTAATCAAATGCCTTTCAAATCGCTTTGAGGATATTAACCTTCATTCAGAACAAATAAAGCTGTAAGTAAAATACATGCCACAAGCTCTCTCAGGAGGTCTCTGATGAAAAGAAAGCAGAATCCAGAGTGATGTACTGAAGACAGCAAACACTGGTCATTTGGGATTAACGCAGGTAAACAATAACAAACGGTACAATATTTGGGAGACTTATAATTGTTGCTTTAGACATCGTGTAATGCAGAAAGTGTGATTTCAGTGTCTCTTTTCAAGAATATTTAACAGGTTCTATCATTATTATTATTATTATTATTATTATTATTATTATTATTATTATTATTATTATTATTTTGCAACCTCATGTAAAACATGTTTAAAGTCAAAAATTGTGATTCATCAGGATTTACAGAGCTGCAGAGTCACATTTAGACTGTCCCTGTCCAGAAGCTCAGAAAATCATTTTTATACTCCAGGACGATGTGAAGCATGAATTTAAAAGTATATGAAAGTTTTCTTCATGAGAAAAATAAAATCAATAAAATCCTTTAACAATACAACTGCATATGAGACTGAAAAAATCTGAACTATTCAGTTGTGCTTTCATCTGAAACTTGATGAATGACAAAATAATTTACTGCTAAAAGACACATTTATCAAATAGACTTATAGAAAATGCCTTCAAACAATTAAATTAACCATAAATTAAATGATTTTGAAAATGAATACAAATAATTACTTTACAAAAATGTACCAATTTCATTAGTTCTATAAAACTAATCAAAGCACCTAATTTAATAATATGAATTGTTTGCAGAATACTACAATGTGCCTAATGCTCACACTAAAAGTTTTCAAAATCCACATTGAAAGGGGAAAAAAAAGTCTTTTGCGTGTTTGATGAAAACAACTGGCTGGTGAATTTTGATTAGGCACTGTAGGACAGAGAGCAGTGCCAGCAATGAGCAAATTCTGGCTCACAGCCCACAGCCTTGTACACTCAACATTAGTGTTGAAAACCAGGACAAAAAGGATATTGAACATAAGGAACAGAACAAATGATGTATATGAGCAGAGTTAAATCCCACGCTTGGAAATGTGGTAAAAAGCTTAGCACCGAAACAAAATGTAGTTTAGTTTCTCATTGCCCAGTAAACTCATGCCTCTAATTTGTGTAAACATTTTAACATTAAAAAAGTGAATGCCTATATTTTGATCATGTCCTTTTAACCTAATGAACAGAATCACTACAGCAGATCATTCACACTTACCTTAAGTTCACGAAAGAAAACGCTGCTGCGGGCCCACTCCACAATAGAGAAGAGTGTTTGGTCAGCCATCTTGCACATCAGCCCAAATGTGTTGAGCTTCTCGTGCTTGCCTCGGCTGGCCTGCTCCTGCTGTAGATAGGCCAGGATCTTTGCCTGAACCTGTGGTTCATCGGGTTCACATTTTAGTAGCTCTACTATCAGATGGGGGAAGCTGGTTGGAGAGCCTGACTGGTAGGCATCGACGTAAGCGTAGCCCATGATGGACTCTGGAGAGCTGGTGTATGGGTCTGGATACTCAGACTTGATGGTGCGTGTGCCCTGGAAGTGTCCGTAGGCCGCCTGGTAGCCCTGTAGGCTGCCTGCGTGTGGTGGCATCGCCATACTGACAGGAGAAGTAACAAAAGGGCTACGATCGTAGTCTGTAGGAGGCAATGCTGTGGCGTGATGGTGATGATGGTGGTGGTGGTGGTGACTGGTGTGGTGACCGGCGTGGTGGCTCAGTGGAAGGCCTTTGGACGCTGCCGAGTGGATGTTCTGAATGGCTGAGGAGATAGTGAGGTCAGTGGGTACAGCTTGCATCACCTGGCTCATGGCCTCAATCTTAAGGCCGTTTGCTCGGATCAGCGCCTTCTTTTGCTGCTTCAGGGCACGGTCACGTTTGTACATTGGGCCAAACTTGTTACGACCGCCACGCATGCGGTCCGCTCGCACAGCTGAGAGGAAGACATGATAAAAAGGAGAAAAGCAGACAGTTAGTTCAAAAGTACGTTCAATATGCTCACTCTTGGTGGCATTTCTGAAAGACAAAGCAAATGTTCACACTTTTACTTGTGATACATTCATATTACAAACCAAATGATGCACCTTGAATAAATTCGATCACCATGCAACATTAACTTGTATCAGAGGAAGGAGCAAAGATTGAGAAGAAAAAGTGCAAGAGTTTAGATTAGAATTATGAGGAAATAACACTGATTAGCACCTGTTTATGGCATTTGTTGGTAGTTTGTATACATACGATCATCAATGATCGAACAGTGGTGAACTGATGTCAGGGTTAAATGATGCACATGAGGAGTGAAGTTTGGCTTATTTTTTCTAATCCAACATCAGTTAAGGGGCTGCATAGCCATAAACCTGTCAGAGGGCCTCTGGTGGTCATGGCATTATGCCAAATCGTGTACGTTCACATGATGTGATCTGGACCAAACAGCACAATATTTCTCTTCAAAATCAGACTATCTTGAGAAGAGTGATTCAGTTTCTGTCAGCCTGTGGCTTTGATTTGTGAAACAAGTGAAAGCTATTAAAATTAGCCTCCATATAACAGAACTATTTAACAGTTTTATCATTTGAACATCTGTTTGAAAATGTTCGAAATGATCACTTGTAATCATTTAAAGCCTGTCATAGATTTATGAACCATTTACTCTGTCAGAGTAAAATATGGGGGATTCCACAGTTTTTCCTCTTGTCTCTTTCTCTTCCACCAAAACTTGTCTTGTGATGTCAATGTCCCATTACATCCCAAATGCTGAAACATTGGTACATACGCATAACGTTTTAGGGGCGGTGTTTACCATCAGTTTTCTGTATGGCAAAGGTTTATGCATGACAACTATACTTGACGTTTATCAGTTGACTTGCTAAAGCCCACAGACCAAAGTGATAGTGATGTTACTCATTGACCAGAATTTTAAACTTGTTTGAACCCAATGACAGAAGGATCATAGTACAACAGGTTTTTTTTTTTTTTTTTTTTTTTTTTTTTGGTGGCGAAGGGTGTCTGGCCTCCCTCTCAGAAGTTAGTTAGCATTATGAACTCTGACAAAAATCTACTTTTCTGATTATGCAATCCCTAAAAGCTTTTAAAATGCCTGTGTCAATTAGCAAGGACTTCTTTATAAAGACCAAAGACATGATCTGTCTGACAATAATTCAATTGGGGTTCTTATTTTCTGATGAAACAAACGCACCCACGATGCTCCCCCGTTGCCCCCCTCCACCCCTCAGCGCAGGGATCCTGTGGTGAGGATCACAACGAGTGTGAGCTGTGGGTATTTCTAATGAACAAACTGGGCACACAGTGGACTGCAATGAGGTTTGTGTGTGATCTGACCGACTGCTGCCACAGGGAAGCTGCTCTACTATCTCTCAGTCGGGGGGCACTGGTGTTAATTATTCATACTTAATTACATCTTATTCTGACAAGGCTTTGCAGGGCCCAGCGTGCAAAAAGCCAACAGACGTCTGGGGCTTAATGCAGCATAAAAAGGGAAAAATATGCACTAGACTTTTCAGTGCTAATATTCACAAATATTAGACCCATATCATCCTGATTTCGGAAACGGCTTCCATCTTTTTAAATGCATCAAAAATGCAGGCAAATACACTATTAAGCCCAAATATGTTTGACCTTTTCATACACAAGGACAAGTCAGATGCCGTAGCAAGTAATCTTAGGTCCACTGAGACGCCTGATGCTTTGACAGATGAATGAAAGAACAGAAGAGGGAAAGTGAAGTGGGGGTGTGGAGAAGGCGTGGAGCGGGACTTAAGTTCAGGGGCGAAAGATGGGCAGACACCCGTACAAAGACATATACGCATACCCACACACACATTCACGCATACACACCAAGCTGCCTTGGGAGGGATTTTAATGACCTCTTTCACAAAATGTGCCTGTCACTGATCTGAGCAAGGACCGCCGAGAGGGCAGCCACACACACACGCGCACGCACGCACACAGACACACGCTTATGTATAGATTTGACACCCGAACACAAAGTGGCTAACATGGAAAACATCACACACTGTTCCCCTTCAGAGAGATGGGAGCGTGCCAGACGGTCCACCACCTTGAAGAGACTCTGGTGGTTTAAATGCAGTGATTTACTCGCACTCCAACAGCCACTTCCCCACAATGTCCATTCAACTAGACTCACAAATGATCATGACCACTGAGAAATTGCTCCCACATCAAAAAAGAAAAAAGAAAAAAAAAGAAGAAGAAGAAATTGGAATTCCAGTCAAATGTATCCATTATACATTATTGTAGGGTAACTTTAACTATTAATGATTCTCCACAACAGCGTAATTAATGAGCTGAGAAACTAATAGTTGGCCCTACTGGGAAAACAAAATTAGGCCCTGACTGCCTTTCTCGCCTGCCTCGGACCAAGGGACCCACAGCGCATCATGAATACCAGAGTTGGTAGTGGTAGCGGTGGTGGGGGGGCATCTTACGACTACATACACATGCATACTGGCGCACACACACATGCACACATTTTTGTCTCTAATTAAACAAGGTGATTTGCATTCATGTAACATGGATTAATTTGGAGGGGGAGGGGAGAGGGGAAGAGTGCACACATGCATAAGGGGGCAGAGAGAACTGTGCATGTCTGAGCAAGGTGGCAATATGACAAGTGTTTGGACACTGCAACAATTTGGCTTCTGATGAGAATGAATTCATATGATCCCTATACCCAACAGAAATGAGAGCAATAAATATTTTAGTTTATCAATATAAAACTTTATGCATTAAACGTTTCAGTGGCGTTGCCTTTCCTTTCAAGGTTAGATTGCTGCTTGCCAAGAAAAAAGGGTGAACTTATGTTTTATGGTCAGGGCTGGCTCAAAATTTTTAGGACCCTTGTCAAAGCAGCATATATAATTGAACAACCGTATTTAAATTATGACTTACAAATAAACTATTAGAAAATATGTTGTTTTTTTTGTTTTGTTTTTTGTTTTTTTGTTTTTTTTTTTTTAAGAAATTTGAATTCTTCTGAATTCAATATTCTGAAACCTTGGAAAGAAAATTATAAAGAGGCTTATTCCTAATAAACAAAACTACAAATATGTCTGTAAACAGTGTTGGTATCTTTATCTCCCTGCTAGACTAAAACCTTAAGCAGCAGCTTATTTCTCTTATGCCTGAAGCTTGCTCTGGACTGAGTGATTGGCTGGACAAAAACAGCCACAAACAGACTTTCAAACCAAGTCAACAAAAATATTTAGTTTCTGTCAGTAAATAACCACAGCATAAAGGCTGGAGACACAGAGATGAAATTGAAATATTGTTATGAAAAACAAACAAAAAAAGAAATTGTTTTTAAAACCAATTAAATTTGTGAATATGATTAATTACTTCTATAAAATGTGATGCTTGTTCCCCTTACAAGATAGGGGAAATATAACTTTTACTATGGTTATACCAGTTAAAAGCTACTGACACATAAGAGGTTAATAGTGGGGCTTTGGGTTTGTATGGTTGAGGACATCATATACTCTGAGATGTTGTCTGACAGCACAAATGCAAAGACTGGGGAACATAAAATTCATAAATTTCCAATCTGACGCAACTCCTCCTATTCTCCAAAAATGTCCGCTGTTCCCGGGAGATGCTAACAGCCTCAAACTTGTACAAACAAGCAGAGACGCAGAGAGAAAATTCATTTTTTAGCAATGTAACATGTCCAAGAACACACCTACACACAGACAGTAACAAATATTGAACTCCTTTCTTACACACAGCCCTCAGTGCTTATATCCTCTGATTTATGGTTGTTTAATATACAGGAATATTAAGCGTGCGTAGGTGAGGATCCCTGTCGGCTGCCGGCATATTAATGGGTCCCGCGGAGCCTTGCTGACACCCTGTTTGTCATGTCGGGGCCCCGGCCCCTGCTCTGGATGCGCCCTATCCCATGCACACACATGAATACCTATGATACCTATGCATAAGTAATGGGACAGCTCCCCGGCTTTCCCACCACAGGTACTGAGAGGCTGATGGAAGACAAATCAGAGCTGGAAAGATGGAGACGGGGAGGAAATGAAAAGTGGAGGGAGCGGGGGAGAGATGCAGCAGGGAATATACAAACACTCAACCAGTGGTGCTAATTTCAACTAAGTGGCTCTTCAGAGGTTTTGAATTTGTAGTAAGCAATCAATTAAAATTTTATGAACGATTAACTGCATGCAAAAAAAAAGAAAAAAAAAAAACGATGTAAAAGGAGAAAGGGAGTCTCTGTGAGAGCATTATTTCTGAAATAACAAATTTATGTAGGGATCAAGATATTAATGTTATGCTCTGCCTTTAAAATGATACACAAGTGAAGGAAGTATTAGGCAGCTCAGTGAAGCATATGATACAAGACAACTATTAGCAAGCAAAAAGACAATCATGCCAGTGGGAGCTGTTCAAATATAGCACGCTTCACTGGCTGCGGCGAGTGATGTTCTAATGAATCAAATCTTGTTTTTTCAGGGGGACAATGCAGGCGGGAGATGCTAACAGCATACCAAGAAGAGAGTGTGCTTGCAGCATGTGGATGGATTGGATTCTTTCACTCAAAATCACTCACATAAAGACTTACCATCCTTTACTGTTTTAGCCATATTTACTGAAAACATTTTTGAAGAAAAGTTTTAAAAGATCTGACAGCATCGTTCACACCTAATTTACTTATTAATGTTGAACTAATAAACATTTAGATCAAAGTTCATACTTTGTTGCTTTTGTTTTTACTCCAACTGAGATAATGTAATAATGTTCTGTCTATTTTATTGGGAAAGATGCAAGTTTACCAACTCACATATGCAACAGATTTTAAAAGACAACAGTAAACCATAATCTGATAATATATTGTCACTCAGCCACTCTACTTAAACTGAAACAACACTTTCACCAAAATAATGGCACACCACAACATGCAAAATTCTTTCACTGACTTTTTTTTAATAAAAAACATAAATGGGACTTTTTTTTGTCTCAAAGGATGTAATCAGTTTTGTAATGTTCAAGCAAATCTCTCTAGAAAAGAAAAAGGAACCTGCCTAAGTCTTATAGAGTTCTCACTGACCAATCTGTTCAGATTTGCAAAAATTCCTGAGTGAGCTTGTACTCCAAGTCTGAACTACTGGTTATTGACATTAATTTGCTAATGTTAACGTTAGCAAATTGACGTTAATTTGCTAACTGAGCTCTTTTTGTTGCACGAGGTGCAATGACAAATTTGGATGGAGAGTTATTGCACTGAATCAGACACTTCAACATGTTTCCCCCGACCTTCTTTCTAAAACTGAACAAACTGCCTCACTGGTTGTAACAAAGGCTCAACAATTAAAAATAAAAGCCACCAAAAAGTCGTACACAAGAAAGCAAACTAAAAAAGTGGCACTTGGAGGCAACTGTCAAGTTTTCTTTAAATTTGGTATCTGGTTTATCTCCTAAATTTACATGTTTCTGAAGGCCATCATGCGCCGTAACGCAGCACATGGCTGAGATCATTTTCTCTTTTTAGATTAAATGACAACTACTTCCTGCTGCCTGTGGCCATCTGAACAACTTTCCTGTCATGAATATATGTATGTGTTTAGAAGGCAGAGCTGTATGCGTGTGCCTGGGTGTGTGTGTGTGTGTGTGTGTGCGTGTGTGTGTGTGTGTGTGTGTGTGTGTGTGTGTGTGTGTGTGTGGTAAAGGGTGTCAGCTCTTCTGTGTGGGAGGTCTTTACTGGATGTGGCAGGAGTCGCCCACTGGAGCTTCTGGCACCTGACAGAGCGCTGCAGGGCCTCTTCTTGCCTACGAGCGGAAAGTTACCGCCGGCAAAACAAATCAAACACAACCACCCCCTCCTATCCCTCCTCGCGCCCCTGTTAGCTTTCAAATGACCGTCCGGGACTTTCTGCCCAAAGGCCATTCACAGTTAATAGCTGTTAATAAAACCATAATGGCAGGTCGATGGAGACACCTTGAGATTTTTGCTTTGTTTCTGTTTCCTTTTTGTTGTTTTATCCTTTAGTTTTGCTGTAAATGTACGCATGTATGTGATCTTTTTTTTTCCCCCCAAAACCATCACACAACATTTAAAATTATTTGTGAGAAAATAAATGCAATTACAGTAATTTCCAGAATAAAAGTAAAGACGTTTAGGCTTTAAATAGTTTTACATTCAACTAAAATGAAGACAGACTTTTCAAATTTCCAAAGACAGTTTCCAAACTAATGTGTGGAGTAAATCCTAATTTCTGAGATGAAATGAGGCCTCGGCACATTTAACCAAAAGAACAACATTCTAACTGTAATATTTTATATTTCTCTTTACACTTACAACCAGACAACCCTCCCCACCCACAATTTGCCCCCAACTATCTCCGACCTGTTACTCCATGCCAAAAAGCGATGATGGATATCTTCTAATAAAAAAAGCATTTTTTTTATCTTTGCAAGAAAAAAAAGTACATTGGAGAAAATACTGCTGTCCAAATAGCTTCTTTATGTAGTATTTTGCTTTATCTCTGAGCACCAACTAAGAATTCAGTGTTTAGAAAGCCGTCTTCATGCAAAATAATAATACAAGCATACATTCCCTTTGAGTTTCAGGTAAATAAAAATGAAGAAATGAAAACGCCTGCCTTCTATGCTCAGCTGAGAATTCATGGAAGCTGCCTTCTTACTCATCTAGATGCATTGTGTCAGATCTTTGTTTATTAATATTGAAATGTCTACAACAGACATCTGGAATGAACTGAATCTGATGTAAGTTATTCATAATACTCCTATAAACTTAAGAGGCTACGTGATGACTTGTGGAAAGCTTGGATTAAATATTTTCACGTCCACACTTTCACTGAAAAAAAAACAAACAAAAAAAAAACAACATCTTGCTTTGTATCTCAAAAACAGTGTTCTTATTTTTCTGTATGGCCATTTTTTCTGAAGTAAATTTGAAAACTCCCCAGATATAAGACCCCTTTCCTTCTAAAGCAACAGCTGCACGTCTATCACCAAAAATTTACCCTCAGCACCTGCGGGTACTGCTTGGCAGAGCTTGTACTACGACTCCCCATAACCTTGTGTACAGGGGCAAGACAAATCTAAATGCAGGAGCCAAAATTCAGTAGAAAAGTTGCCACTTTCAGTCACTCTGCAATAAACCAAAGAGCAGAGCACTGGAAAAAAAAAAAAAAAAAGTCCTCATACCTTCTAGCTTCATGCCGACAGTGAGGCACTTTTGGAAGCGGCAGTACGGACAGCGCTTTCTCTGGGTCTTGTCAATCTGGCAGCTCTGGTTCTCTATACACGTGTAGCGCTTGTTGTTCTGGACGGTGCGCTTGAAGAAGCCCTGTGGAGAGAACCAATTAAGACGTCAACCTGCTTGACCCCTGCAATGCGATAGTAATTGGCCCATTCACACTCCCAGACAGATGGAGAGGGACAGCCTTAATGGATACATGCACACACACACACACACACACACACACAGACAGACACACGCAGAGGGGAGTTTTTAAAGATATTCTACAATGTGTGTGATACTTCAGCTTCTGTGTTTCCACAAGCTATTTCAGGTTAATTTATGGTTAGTGTGTCACACTAAATTTAGTCATAAAATACATTTCTTTATAACACCCTTAGTGAAATGACTTGGATTTTAACTGATGAGCTGCACATAAACTTTTGTTTAGCTGTTTTGATTTGTTCTCCAGTGCTTCACTGCATTTTAAACTACTTCATAAAATATTTGGCTACTCATTTTCAATATTCCCTTTTCACACAAAAAGTCCAGGAATTAAGTAATTTTTTCAACCCTATATTTAATTATTGAATAATATGGCCAGGACACACGAGAGCAAAAAAATCCAATAAATTATATACATAATTTAAAGTTCCGGGATTATAGACATTCATACACGGAATTTATTATTGGCAGCTGCAGTGAAAATCAAACACAGGAAGGTGGTATTAACGTATTCTAGATCCATAACCTAGGAGGAGAATCCTTAAACCTGCTCTTTAAAATAAAATAAAAAAGAAGGTGCTGCTGTCAATATCTCACCAAACACATATTTAATTGACAATCTGCATTGCCTGATCTGACCAAACACAGGGAAAAAAAAAGGGCAGAGCTTTGGATTCTGGAAAATTGACTCCCTACTTTAGTATTTGTGCTTCAGCAATACTTTCTTCTTAGCATTCATGTACAAGAGCTCAACCTGATTCCAACTCGCTTTTTAAGCGTGCAAGTACTTACTGAAAACTGCTCTTTTCAGATGCACAGCGAGCCAAGACTTAAATTGCTGTTTATCTTTTGCATGACTGATAGAAACAGCTTTTATTCCATTTAGGCTGCAGTGCAATCAGGCTTAATCAAAGGCAAAAGTATATAATAACTTTACTCTAGTATTTGGGAAGCACTGTTCCCGTATGTGTGCAGCAACTGAGTCTAACTTCTAAGTTTCTGATCCATAAGCCAGCCGCATGGAGCGACGATATTTTAGGACTCAGAGGTTATTCTGTTGTTGTTCTGTTGGAACTCAAAAGAAGATCTCATGTTATTATTCCAGAAAGTTTGATGCAATAACATGTTTATCTTACTGAGGTGAAGCACATGAACAGAAATGATCTTTGCACTTCAATGACAGCTGATGAGTGTGTGTGTGTGGTGTGTGTGTGTGTGTGTGTGTGTGTGTGTGTGTGTGTGTGTGTCTATAAGCACATTTGACATCTGCAGATGCAAATGTTCTATTGTTCATGATGTGCATCAGATCTATTTGTTCTGTAGCACATCAAACGCTCAAAGTATGAATCTAATTAGTAGGTCCTAATAACAATCATGCTATACATGATTTACAGCCTACGTGGGATGATAGGGAGGTCAGTTAAAAATAAAAGTGGATCATGGCCAAGATTTGACAGAACTAGACATGATTAAATCTCATCACTGATTTTTACACTGATCAACCTGGAAGTCGCTTCCAGTGAAATGAAGATGGATCTAGCCTGGATGAGCCTGAATCGCTGCTCGCATCTATTTAATGGCAGAATGAACCTGTAATGTGTCAGCAGGCTGATTTATCAGCCCAGCCCTGATGATCATACAAACTGCTACATTTTAGCGATAATCAATGACAGGCTTTGGGTAATTATCAATATCATTAATGTTTCACCAAGGATATGCAGCATTCCATAAAGCACCTCTTCATCTGCATCCAGAACACACACACACATACGCGCACACGCGTGCACACGCAAACACACACACACACACACACACACACAAAACATCAGCATGTTTAAAGTCAGCCGGGAAACATGCAGATTGGCTGCGCAGACGCTGAGGAGCACCAGAGATGCCACTGACGTCTCCCTTCAAGCAAATATTCAGCATCTCAAGGTCAAACTATGGGATCAAATCTATAACATCTGCTTTGAATAATGACCACATAGGCAAGAAATGTGCACTGCAGCATCAATACTGCGAGCTGCAATTTTACGCTGAAGAGCGTTAATGTGGAGACATTTGTCTTGGCTTAATTTTGCACTGACAGCTTTACTGAACTGGGGGGGAAACAAAGGAAGAGAAGGACAAATAAGTTGTTGACAGAGTTCAAGTTTAACAGCATGGTACCTTTTATTTTACTCATGTCTTGTCATGCACGGAAACACGTAGCTCAAGCAAAGCGGACGATCTTCTAATGAAGATGTGACGAGAAATTTAGACAGGAGCTTTCTCAAACAGCACCATCACTAGAGTACATTTTGCCTCAAGTGTTGCAACCCTCCCACATATTTTGCGATCTATGGAATTTCAGATTTTGATATGGATTATGTTGCTCACTGCCCAGGGCACCATTCTGTTAGGACAAGGTTTGAAACTTGGGGGGAAAAAAATAAAAACTTCTCTGTTTGTTACACTCCAAATGAGTTTTCTATTGTGAATTCATGTGCAGTCAAAGGGGAGCGTATAAGCACTGCAAGAGAACAAAGTGATTGTGCTTGGAGCTGGTCTATTCTGGACTAAGTTTAAGGCCTACCCCACTGCGTTTTGAGGAATCGGGACAGTAACTGATCACCTCTATTTTGAACTATTGTCTGTCTGTCTGGTTGCAAAACTGGCAACAAAGACAGATACATTGATCGTGTAATTGTCTCCTGCATTATCGTACAGGAATATTTAAGAATTTGTTTCACCCAATTTTGATAAGGAAGTTAGTGTGTTCTTCTGTTATATATTTTTTGGGGGAGAATGCAACTGCATAGCATACAACAAAACTTTAAGAGTGAAAAGCCACTTTAGCAGAAAAGGGTCAGTTATATATATATATATATATATATAATTTGACTAAACATTAAAAGTTTTGCTTGGATGCTAAATTGCCCATGTCACACAAGCATAAACTTGACAGCCTAATGCTGACAAGACTGGATGTTAAAGCAGCTACACAGCTTTAAACAGCTTTAACCTTCCTAACAAAACGGTACTTAACTGCTTGTGCGGTGGCACACGGCACCGCACAAGCACAAACCATATTTGACGTTGCAGTCCAGGAAAATCTAAACATTTTCTCGTCTTACGGGGCACCCACCTTGCAGCTTTCGCAGGTCAGGAGTCCATAGTGATACCCGGAAACCTTGTCCCCGCACACGGGACACATCTCGTCCAGGTCTTCGTCATAGGAGTAGTCCATCATTTTTAACTGGGGGGCTGCAAGAGGACACACGGAGACACACACGCAGAGTGAAGTCTATTTCAGTGTTGAGCGCTCTTTTCCCCCCAAAAGCCCGCTCTCATCCATCAAGGTGAACCGCGGAGGGACTCCGCGTCGCAGCTGAATGGGATTTTGTGAAACTTCTGTTTCTCTTCTGAAAGCTTTCAATCGTGCCCCCAGACACTATGAAGGGTCGATTCTGGAGTGTGTGGAGAGGGACGCAACCATTTCTCCCTCTTACTCCTCACTCTTCTTACAGCCCAAAAAATAAAATAGAAAAAAAAAAAGTGCATGAAAGTCAGCCTCATAAATATGCATGCGTCTAAGTCGTGAAATCGCTGGGGGAAATGGGGAGATATTAGACTTGAGGATTGGATGAGAAAATGTTACCGCCCACAGACAAATGAAAACACACAGAGAAGCCCTTATCTTTGCGGGCGATTAGAAAAAAACATCTAAAACCAACATTTTTTTTTTCTTCACTAAGAATCAGCACTAACGCCAAAGGCCAGTTCAGGAGGATTTAAATCTGCTTTAAAGTTGTGAAAAAGCAGCAGCGATATTTCATGTTATCTGAACAAGTTCTTAAATATAAATTTAATTTGGAATCAGAAAAATAAAAGTCATTATTGTGAATCTGGAAAGGACGGAATTCAAAAAACAGATGCGCGTAAAATGTCCCAATTATATTTTCACAAATATCCCTCACTAAAAAAAATAAAAAATAAAAATACAACACGTCAAACGATTTTTAAAAGTTGCTCTTGTTTACCATTGATCTGATTTCAGTTTTGGAAATACTTTCATGTGTATGAGTATCTGTGTGTGAGCAAACAGCCAAGCATGCATTTACAACAGTTTAAAGCATTTTATGGTACTTATCATAAAAAAGCAAAGCAGCCAAGATCAAACAGGAAAACCTCGGTGGATGCGGCTGTAAAAGTGGAAATATTTTGTCAGCCACAGACGCCTTTTCCGTGGCCTTCACACACATACACATACACACACATGCACACACATATTAGTGCACCATTCACTTAAAGAAAAAAAGTACGCTTCATCTGCTCTCCGAGACCCGTTAATTAGACATGATTTGTAGTTTGTTAACGCGTTTCCCTACTGGGATCGGCGCTGAATTTTCGAGTTGAAGCAACAAGTTCTACCAGACTGCTGATTTTTTTTTTTTTTTAACTCTATTTTTCAGAGACGTTCAAAGCAAATTTACCCTCTGAAATCTCTTTTTTCTTTCTTTTCTTTTCTTTTTTTCCCTCTTTTTTATTTTATTTATTTTTACATTTTTTCGCTCTAAAGCGCATAAACGAAATAATATTACTACATGCTGCGTGTTCGCTCTGTAGGTGCTGTACAGCTGACTAAAGATAAGGAATTTTGCGAGGACAAAATGATTATAGCAGTTAAAACTTCACGCTGAAAAAAAGCTTATATATATATATATAACCTTTAAATAAAAGGGAAACAGCATTTGCTTTTTAAGGATTTATTTCAACAAATCGGTGTTTCTTTTAACAAGTACAAAAAGACCACCTGTTCAAACATCCAATCAAAACAGAATAATGACAAAAAATATATTTCCACTCACGTTACCTCGTTTTTTTTTCTTCGTCAAATCAGATAATAACCCCCCAAACAAACCACTCCTTCTATGAGCCTTATCAGTGTGTCATAAAACCAAAGAGGACTAATTGATTTCCCGCTTATATTGCAGTGGAATGACATGTGTGGAATAAACAGGGTTACACGTGTTTATCTTTGACAATGAGTCAGTCTTTTTTTTTCTTTTTCTTTTTTTCTCCGCTGCTGCGAGTGTAGTCTGTTTCGCGGGAAGATCAAGAAAATAAAATTAATGTAAGCCCGAGGGAAATGTGCATAATTATGTCAATTCTAAGAAACGTTATAGCATCAAAGATGCTTTTTAAAAAAAAAAAAAAAATCCCATCATTAATTCTGCTTTTCACACAGGAAAATAATGGTATGTCTTTCATTCATGTGTTTAAAAGTAAAATGTAATTTTATTATGTAGTAAATAAAAACCTCCACCGACTTTCGAATTTATACAATTTAGTTATATATATATATATATATATATATATATATATATATATATATATATATATATATATATATATATATATATATATTATTTTGTGAAGACATTAGGAGACTGCATATTTGAGAACACAGTTTCGTTTTATTTCTCACACTTTTACAAGGACAGGAAAACTTTGGATCAACTCGTCAAATCAGATGATGATTCTGGACTTTTAAGTTGTCTTCTGGGGGTAATAAATGTCTGTCTGACTCTTGAATATATTTTGTTTACAAATTACAGATGATCCTGAAAATTGTCATTTTATGGCATTAAGACGTAGGCTGGTGGTCTAATTACAAAACCTCGGAAATAGAAACAAGATAAACGCTTACGTACGGGTTCCCCGCCTTTCAGGTTTTTGCGCGTTTTTTGATGTTTGGTTAATTGACAGCTGATTGTGATAATTGTTCACCAGCAAAAACGTAAAGAATTGCATTTAAATTTGCATCTAAATATATATCCTGGGTTGAAATGTAAAAAAATAATAATAAGAAGAATAATAATATAAATAAATTATTAAAGTTTATGGAGACCAATTTCCGTAACTCTTCAATGCGTCAAATAAATACATCCAGCCATTAAACACTTTTATGGCACTAGTTTTATGAAAGTGGCTGGAGCCATCCGTGTAAAAGTGACGCAAATAACTTTGCACCAAAGTTTTTACTTTAGCGCGCTGAGAACTTCAGCCAGATGCGCTGCTCAAAAGTGGACACTTCATTATGGAGCAGTTACATCTATAGACAATCGGCGGAGTGACTATTCTTACCTTGCAAGTTCCTTGGCATGTGCCCCTGTTCCCCATACGATCGAGTGAGTCCCAAAGATTCAGTCTCGACTTTGGGCAGCATGTCAGCGCTGCCGGCCCGAGCTGGAGACCGCGCACCGCTCGGCGGGACACCTGGATGTGTGAGTCAAACACACTTCGAAGTGTCCCGAAAGCTTCTTCTTCTTTTTTTTTTTCTATTCTGGTCTGTTTCTTACTTTCTGTCTCTCCCGCTTTCTCCCTCCGTCTTCCAAATTATTGGACCATGCTTTCAGGCTGATCCAGACCACTCAGACTTTCTCTAAACGTGATCGAAACGCGCATATACTCAGATACCCGATCGCTGTTACTCAACTTCACTTATTTACTTTAACTGTCTGCGTCTGAGAGAAGGGAAACTACAATGCTGCTTCCCCCTTTTAAGGATTTAACGAGGGGCAGATGCGCGATAAGTTGGTAAATTTCTCTCTGCTAAATGAAAAACTGCGCAACGTCCGGATAGAAGGACGACGGCAAGTTTGCCTTTATCTCTTCCAGAATTCCTTAAAGCACGTCACCAATTAACACGAGGCTGTCAGAGTAACTTAAAGCCTTGAGTAGACAAGCACGCGCCGGCGGGGCAGCCCTCCCCTAAGCGTAAAGTCGGCTTCGGTGCCTTGGTCGGACTGTCTGGAGATGTGGAGACCTGTCCTCTTCCTCCTCCTCCTCCCCCACCCCCTCCTCGCGGCTTTGTTTACGCCCGTCTCTCCAATCCGAGGCGCATGCGGTCATCTGACATCACGTCTCATCGGTCCAATCAGGCAAGGAGAAGTATTGCCTCAAAGCCCCGTAGTTCCACGGCTCTGAAATCTCAGCTGTTTAATCCCGTTAATGATGGACTTTAAAAAGCTGCATTGATGGATTGAGGTGGGGTGAGGGTGATGGGGGACAGGGAAAATAATAATAATAAAAAAAAAAAAAAAAAAGGGGATGCAACTGCAGACTCCCCATTAGCCCACGGTGTGCAGTCAGAGCGCAAAGGTATGTGGTGTAGAGCGTGTGAAACAAGCTGAGAAAAGCCCAGGCGTTCATCTGTTTCTGTACGTTTATTTCTGTTTATATGTATGTCTATTCTGTTGTCTGTGTCCTGTTTTATTAATCTGAAAATCTATTTTAGAATGTCCTAAGTATTTACTGTAAATAATGTATTAAATGTATAGCTGTTTTCCGTTCACAGTGTTCAAGTGTTCTGTTAAATAAAAACAAATTAAATCAGTTTAAGTGTTTGGATTTGTTTGCGCAGATTTGGAGAACAAAATGTGTGTAAAATTGGCCTGCAGTTTGAGGTGCCTTTGTGTACATATCAAAGCAACCTCCGCTCCCCAAGTTATATCGTTGTATTTGATTTATTACAAGCAGCTTAAGTGGATAACAGTTAGAGATCTCACTTTGGGTATTTCAGCTTTCCTGTTAAAGGGGTACATCCAAGTAGAGTCACCTGGCAGAAATGAGAGGCCCGCCCGCAAAATAAGGCCAGCTCCGCAAACACGAGTGGAACTTGTGCGCTCATCCAGATTTGCACTTGAGAGTAGAAAAAAAAAATGACTGGAACATCAAAAGGATTTTACACCATAATAGCCAGCTTATTTTAGAAATAAATGGAAATCTGATGAAAGGCGACATATAGGTATAGAGTGTACAAAACTGCAAAATCACAGGATTTTTTAAGTACAAAGCAACCTGTTGCACGAATAACTTTAACCTGTTATTTGTGCAAAGTCTCAGGGCTGAATATAAAAAAACTGTGGGCCCTTGTTGGAGTTTCCTTTATGCATACAATTTACAATTTCTTTCTTTCTTTTTCTAAAGAAAAGAAGTTATTTCTCAATTTTATGCCGGGCTGAAACACAAATCAGTCTCTTTGTAGAATCCAAATGTTCCAGATGTTACTTACTTTTCATGTTTTTCTTTTCCTAAAATAGCCTCACCTCACTACCTGGAATCCTCGATCTCTTTTGGCTTTCGAAAGCCAAAAGAGATTTAGATAGTCCTCCCCAAAGATTTGTGTCCTCATTTAAGATGAAATAATTTAATTCACTTTTCTTCAGTAGATCAACCTTACTGTGGTCATTATTCATGATTATTTGTAATTATTTATGACACCAAAATCTCTGGACAAATGTAGGTTATTTGTAAACATTTGTGTGTAGAGTCAGAGAACCTCTGATAACTGCTAATGGGGGGAGCTGTCATCAGTTTTGTGGGCTGGGGGTAGCTGAGCTAGGGGTGCAGGTCAAGTTATAAAATGACACAGAGACTGATAAGAACTTCTATGGCAAGCTAGCTTTAGAAGAATGATTAACTTGTATGGAGAAAAAGAGAGATGTGGCAAAAGGTAAGCAACATAGAGACATATGAGGATCATGAATATCAAGACTTAAAATATTCATTAAGATATGGCAATCAATGTGCATTTGACTTTGTATAGATAAAGACGTTTTATAGTTTGCAGATTGAGGTTGTAAACGTCAGAAAGAAAATGACAAACTGTTTTGCCTGGAGCAAAAATGAAACTTTGGACTAATCAGGAGTCATGTTTGATTGTGAAGTCCAGATTTATCTGATTGGCTCAAAGACAAACAGTCTTACTGACAATCACAACATTACTAGCTATAAAAGGTAACCTGCTCACCTGCAATGAGATAAAAAAGAATGTTTATCTCTTTGAAATAGATTCTTTTATATGTGTGCTAGAAGTCTACGACACTTGGCACCATGACTAGTTCTAAATTTTAGATTATAATCAGGATTTTTAGATTCAAATCAAATTGCACCTCATAAAAAGAAGATGTTAAAGCTGAATATAGCTAAAATTCCTTGGATAGTCAATTGAAGTTGTCCTCTATAGCCCCAACTGGGGCCAGTGCTCTTGTAGAACTGGTTCCTGCACCCGTAATAGATAATGCAAAATCATGGTGAAATGCACTGGCACACAGAATCTGTAACCAGTTGTCCTTTGGACCAATTTTTTTTTTTACCTTAACAGTTTTATAGTAATAGGGAATTAAAAATTAAGGTGGTACAATTTTACTTTGAAGTGGCCTGGTTAATATGGACTTAAATCTAATTGCAGTACAATAGAAGTTTTCATCATGGAGAAACCTACAATTAGGCTCAATTAAACAATTCTGCAGAGATAGGGGCCATATTGTCTTAACAGCAGTTTTAAAAGACTCATTGCCAGTTATGGAACTGTCCTAATGGCTGTTGCTGCTGCCAAGGGTGGCACAACCAGTTATTGGGTTTAGAGAGAAATTGATTTTTACCTTGTGGCCAGGCAGGGTAAGATAGTTTTTTCCCCCTCATCACTTGAAAAAATACTTTTATTTACTCAGACTGTCTTTACCTGATAATAAAATTAGTTCGATATTTTGAAACATTTAAGAAACAAAATCAATCTGAATGGGGGCTAATGCTTTTTTACTTTATTTTTTTTCTGATTGTTCCTCTACAGGAACAATCCATGTTTCAATCCAACCTTCCATAAAGGTTAGGATATTTCCAGTTCTTTTAACTTTCTTCTGTGCCCTCAGGTCAAACTGCTATTACCTGCTGCTCTCCGGGTCTTGGATGTAGACAGTCAATGGATTATTGGAGGAAATGGAGTCTGTCAACAACCAGTGTTGACATTTGGGTTCAGCAGATAAACCTCACAGAGATCAAACAAAGACAGACTCCTTTGTCAAGCGAAAGGAGTGTGCAGTTGAGCGTCTGTTTGCAAGGGTGTATGCGTAACTTTTTGTGTCAGAGTTGGATGTTTACCACTGATGATCTGAGGGCTGCTGATACTGTCTGAGAGGTTTGGTTATCTCAATATCACATGACTGAAATCTAAAAGCCCAAGTTGGTCACAAAGAGAACACTGTTGACAAATGTAACATAGTTCTCACTGTCTCAATCTGGGACAGGGCAACTATCAGTCATGTGCTTTAAAAATATGGGTCTAAAATTGGAAAAATAAAAAAATGTTATTACTGAAAGACAGCCATAGAGAAGTCAGATTTGCAGGGCACACATTAATACACTTATTGGTAGGTAACTTCTTCATGGATGGTTTCAAATGGAAACTTGGAATTGCACTGTGTGGAGTTGGATTGATTAGGGTTTGATTGCACATTTGCATTTTTTACCACACACAAATCATGTTATAAGAAAGCTATGACATTTCAGGGAAGAGACACATTGTGACTTTTATAAAACTTCACGATCCAAAACTAAAAGTTAATAGAAATATATTTAAAATAAAATTATACTTATTGTAGTTTTCATTTGGCTACACAGTGGTGCAGTTAGTAGAGCTGTTGCCTTGCAGCAAGAAGGTTGGGGGTTTGATTCTTGGCCTGGGTCTTTCTGCATGGAGTTTGCATGTTCTCCCTGTGCATGTGTGGGTTCTCTGGCTTCCTCCCACAGTCCAAAAACATGACTGCCAGGTTAATTGGTCTGTCTAAATTCTTCCTAGGTGTGTGTGTACATGGTTGTGTCTCTGTGTTGCCCTGCAACAGACTGGCGACCTGTCCAGGGTGTAACCTGCCTCTCACTCAGAACGGTAGCTGGAGATAGACACCAGCAACCCTCCCGACCCCACTGAGGGACAAAGGTGTACAGAAAAGGTGTACAGCTTTCATTCATAGTGTTTGAGACAGAGGTCTTTAATGCCTTGCCGACTTTCTCTTCCCTCCTTCCTTTGGGTTTTTCTTCCCAATGTTCATTCCTTGCACATAACTCCAGCCCCACTGAATCATTTCCTTCAGTAGGAGATGTTACCAGAACATTCAGCTTCATGCAGATCTTGTTCTTTCATACTATTTATTTCTCCCTCTTTCTGTCAAAAACATGAGGATGTTGCCCTAGAATACCCTCAGTCCTAGAGTCTCCTTCAAATTCTTTCATCAGATGTCAATCTGATATCACTGTTTTCTACCTCGATCAAATTAGTATGTTGGAGGGATGGATATTATATTGATTATTTTAGTTACATTATTATGCGTTTTAATCTTTCACATTTTGTCACATTAAAAGTACAAAACAATTATTGGATTTTTTTTTGATAAACTAATTAAAGTTCTGCATAATTGTGGAGCGGGGAGAATATAGTCTTTCATTTTATTAACATGAGTTTGGATTTAACAGACATACAGCTACAGTACAAGAATCAAGAAATCAAGAAATTATTTCATCCCATTTGATTCCATTCAGTTAAATACTAATAATACTAATAATAATAATAATAATAATAATAATAATAATAATAATAATAATAATAATAATAATAATAATAATAATAATAATAAAAACATTTACTATTATCTCACACTATCTTGCATTATTTTTACATTTCATTTTTAAAGGTCCATCTTTATGCAAAATTCACTTTTGGCATGTTTCCGTACTTCCATTTGGGCATCTCCTGCTCCTAGAAACAGTCAAAGAGCAAGAAAAAAACGAAGCTGTGTATTGGGAATAAATAAATGATAAAAACAGTCTGTTTCAAATATCTCTATATTATTGTGTCACAATTTGCTACCTAGCAACCCAAAGTCAGGTCCTGCCCCTCACCTGACAACCCAAGTGGAGCTCCACCCACTTCATTGAAGACGCTAAGCTATAGCTGCAATGGCTGCTGAAAAAGGAAAATTATTTGTTGTCGGCTGC